TCCTGTGCTTTAGAGCCTCGGAGGACGACAACATTATCATGACTACAGAATCAACTCTTCCTTTACAACTAAGGGAAAGGAAAAACATCTCGAAAGAGGAAGTCACACATTTAAAGAAACACATTGAGACTGCAAAAGCATAAAGATCATGCATTTGACTTTCAGGAAAAAAGAAAAAAAAACATGGTAAGAAAGCTAGCCACCTGGCTCATTGAAGTTAAGAGTTCTGGTCAGATAATTTGACATGGTTTTATCACTAACTTGAACTATTAGCCTATTGACAGTCTGTACTTTTTTCCCAATTACCCCTCGTTACGTTCTCTAGTTTGGCTAGTGGTGATCGCCAAACATGGAAACCAAGGAGACAGCACCCCTTCCACCTACGCCTACTTTCCCACGTCACCCCATCATCATTTACAGTCGGATCTGGCCAGATTAATAGAACGAGCCACTAGATTTTACTTTAAACTGGAGACTGCAAAGTGTGAGTCGCTTCTGCACAGGCATGTATTTGCCTGATCTGCTCTAAGCTCTGAACCTACTGGTATCGTTTATAACTTGAGATTCTACAAGGTTCAGAAGAAGCTTTAGCAATACTTCAGCCTTAGCTGATCAGCAGATGTCCCTTCTCATAGGAGGCTTTTCCTGGCCAGCTTGCTTTTGGACTCTGTCACTCAGATGCTCTATCCTTTTGGGGCTTTTGAATCTTTAACTGTTACTTTAAAAGTACATACACCTCTGGTCCTGAGACAAACTCCTTCCTTAAAAAAAAAAAAACCAAACAGTTGTTCAGTATTGTCCAAAAACCCACATCAGGTTGTTACTTGTACCCACCAGATGGAAACAGAATATAAAATAGCACTTCTTTTAAAGCAGGTGGTGGGCTTCTTCCTCTCCTTTACACAGGGGACTTTGTGCAAAGTTTTACTACTGATGCACGTTTAAAAATTATTGCTGTTCTATTGAATGGTGGTGCTGTCAGGGCACAGACAAACTTGCCTGAATTTACTGCCCATGGTAGCAACTTCACTGAAAACAAAAGCATGCAGAGTAAAAAAGAGCCAGGAAAAAATGATTTCTAGTATTTTTCAACATCAGTAGAATTTTTTCCCCCTGCTTCTGTAATAAGCAGAAGCGAAGAAGGCAGAGCATCTGTATTTGACGTAGGTTTTTGGATAAAGCTGTTTAAGTTTTAGTTTGTTTTTAGAGCACAAGAATCGTTTTTGCATTCAAGCCTGATACACACGGGATGGTGGAGAGTGAGCGAGCGTGAGTGGACTACCCATGCGTTTTTTGGTTTCTGGTTTTCTACAAGTAGTTTAGCTTGATTGCTGTGATGTTCTGCATTGGGCAAGGCAGCTATGATGGGACACCTCTAATGATCCAGAGTTCACCATGATTTAGGGTTCTTAGATTCTGTCAAAGAAGTCTAATTACTTGAGACAATTTCCATTCCCATTTTTCACCTACTTTGCAGTCCTTTAGTCTAGAGTCGTGAAGACAATATAAAATAAAACAAGGGCAACATAGAAAGAATATGTTTGCAGAGTATATTTTCACCCCCAGGTTTTAGTCTTTGGGGTTAAAAAAATATGCCACTGTAAATGGGCTATGAAGATGACCTAGTGGTCTATGTAGGACATAATGTTAGATTAGTAATCCCTTATTTTTCCTATTTTTCTTCTAAAATTTGCCTTTCCTTTTACAGATCATAGATACCCTTGAATTTGAATTCACACAGATTCACCCATTTTTCTTTTACAAAGCTCATCTGATACCAGTCAAATTTCTGTAAACAGTAGTTTCGGATTTATAAGGAAGCTTTGATACACAATGGGGCAGATGAATTATTTGGCTCTTAGCAGATTTTAGAAAACAAAAAGACATCGTTCTTAATCCTGTGTAACTTTTAGACAAGTTTAAACAGTAAAAAATAAGGTTATAGTATGAAGTTACTCCTTAGCGGTCTGAAAGCCTTGTCAGAAAGGTTTTCTCATTGGCATTTCTAGTTATGCCATTTATGTTTTGTTGTCATTTTCCTGTTTCCCACCGCCTTCCTGATGTATGTTTTACTTTGAATGAAACATCCCTGAGTGGATACAGTGCAACATCTGCATCAAGCAGTGATTGTCATTTACGTAACATGAAGTGAAAGTTCAGGTCTCGGGTTCTTGCTTCCAGTGTATGCTTTGCCATGAATGCATTGTGAATATTATCATCATGGGGGAGGGACAAGGTGGTGATAATCCAAATTTATATTATATTGATATTATATTAAATTTATATTATATTTGATATTCTTATCAAACTTTCAAAATACTCTGATGTATTCAAAGGGCATCTCCTAGAGATGTTTTGTTACTGGAGGCAATATGATTGGACTCCTTTAAGGGACAAATTTGTCAACTGTGGCCCCAAATGGAAATCTCATCTTAACTGAAGTAGGCAGAGTGTCTACTGGTTTCTGCTATTTTGTTCTGGTTCAATCACTAGCTGTTTCCTGTCCCCTAGCTTCAAAAGGTTTATGTCATCCCAATACATTAGTGGAAACAACACAAATTCAAACCCCATACCTCCCGAGGCAAATGTGGAGAACAATCTTTTTTCCTACATCGCCCAGGGGACAAGGAAGGAAAAAGTTCTCAGTCACTTCATCAATTGAGTCAATTTAAATTCTCTAAGGTAAGTTGGAGAAAATAAATGATTCCCTTTGCAACTGAGCAGGAATTATAGGCTGACAATGTAAAACACCAGGCCAACAGAACAATGAAAACAAAGTTTGACATAAGTTCAAAGCTCAAAGGGAAACACCAAGTAGACACATTAAGCATCGCCTATCACAAGCCAATCATAAAACATACATTGCATTTGGAAACGGCTTGGTTTAATTGAGTGCCTTCCATTACCCTGTTTTCCTAGCAATCAGTAAAGTAATCTTTCCATTAGAAGGAAATATGACTCTTGGAATTAATTCTTTATACAAAGAGCTAGCAGGAGTGACATTTACACCAAAAAGAATTGAGTCCCTGTAGCAGCATAATAAGCAGTCTACAGCTGTCTTCTTAGACACTGAAGGTAATTTGGTTCAATGTAGTTAAATTAATTGAATATAACAGTAGTTGAGAACGAGATTCATTATTTTAAAGCCTTTTTGTTTTTCCCCATTGGTTTGGAATTCATCAATCATGAGGTGGGAAAAGACTATTTTCTAAAAGAAAAGACTAATCCAATTGCTTGATTATCAGTGAGGAATTTTGTGGCATTTTAGAGATAACTCTCAACGACATAACTTCAGCAGGGCATAAGATATTAAAAATATCTGAGTCTTCACTGACAGAAACGTTAAAAAGCCCAGCATACATGTATGTTTATGAGCTTGGAAAGGAAACAAGGAAAGTTCTTTAGGAGTTGGTGACTGTTTCATATTTATAGGAGATGGAGGTCTTCACTTTTATTTTCTTATATAAAACCCTCCTTTAGAAAACTTTCAGAAGGAAGAAAATTAAATGCTTTGGATCAGATCAGATGCAGGGCATAAGGCCTCCAAAATGTAGGTAGAAGACTCTCCTTGGAATTTATGCTTTTCTGAAGATGGGTTTGCTAGGAGAACAAGTAAAGAAACCTTGTACCAGAAAGTCTAAATCCCCCAATCCTGAAACTCCTCTCTCATCCTTGTACTTTCCAAAGTTGCTCAAGAAAATAATTGCATTCTAGATGAATTATACAACTTTAGGACACATAGCATATACTTTGGGCTTTGGTGTGCAATAGTCCTATAGAATAGCTCAGCTTTATCCCCCAATTTATCAAATTTTGATTATATGTCTCTAATACATCATGTTGAGTCTAGACACTAAGAGGCTGTAGACTAGAAAGAAAAATAAGGTCCTGCCTCCCCTTTGATTGCTGCCTTTTCTAATAGATTTAGTAAAAAGGAGAAATATGAAGAACTCCTTTTTTACTCAGTCTATTCTCTTCCAAATTTTTCTTATCCAAAACTGAAGTTAGAGGGAAAATGTTTACATGAAAAGTAGCCCTGGACTCTTGTTTTACTTATTCACTCTAATTTTGTTAGAAAATTGCTAGTGGTCTTAAGGTACAGGTTGTATTTCTCTGTGAAAGACACAATAAGCACTCAAATCAAGTTTCTTCCACAACCAAAAACTCAAAGAAAGATTTTAATGCTTGTTGGTGGAAAATGAGTACTACCTATTATTGATCAAAAGAGTCCTGGGATCATAATATTATCTGTGGTTTAATTCTTCAAAATTAAAAAAAATTATGTTTGGCGATACCTGACAGTGCTCAGGTGTCATTCCTGGCCTGGTGTTTTGCACCAGGGTGTGCTCAGGGGACCATGTGGTGCTGGGGATTGAATCTGGGCCTCCTGCATACAAAATGTATCTTTTCGACCTGATCTAGTTTTTAAAACAGGAAAATGGCTACAAATATTTAAGATTATTTTCTCTAGTATATACCATCTTGACAAGGCTTTGATGTCATTGAGAGAATTAGAGTTTAAATACAGAGGCCATGCATATTCCTGTAGGCTTATCTCTGAATCCATATCATTTTGCCATCGACAACAGTTGACAATTCTAGCTGGAAAAACAAAATCCTGATTGTCTAACATAAAGGTGACATGTAACACAGAAGGAAAAGAGCCCGACTGAATCTCCTTTGCTAGTAGGTATGATACTTAGGCCACAATGCATGTGCATGTATAAGTAGTATATATAATATTCTCAGATATTATATACTTATAACATACATGCCCAGTGCTTTCCAAGACAGCTACAAATTTACACATGCATCAACTATCTAAAAACATAGAAATTGGTAAGCCTATTAAGTGAATTTTTCTTAAATTATATCGAAACAATCAACAGGAAAAGTAATCAGGTAAAGTACCGCTCTGTTCTCATATATATCTACAATAAAATTCTATAAACAGTTGTCTCCCAAAACATACCCGAATTAAAAAAAAAGATAACACCCAGTGTCCTATATTTGTATATTTACGGTCATTTCAAAAACAAACAAACAAACAAATAAAAGAGCCCCACTCAGGTGCATATTTACATTCTTCAAACTGTAGCGGTGAAAAATAATTCTATGAAGTGCAGGACATTCCTAATGTTGCAGTAGTGACATTTTTCTTTAGTCTTCATGAACACATTGCTTTTGTCTTAACGGTGATGCATTCCAGGACGATGAGACAGTTCTCCTGTCGCCTTCATTTGCAGACGGTGGCACAGTCAGGATTAAAGAGCTCCTTGTATAACGGAGGAAAGAGGGTGTTCACTATGTCTGGATGTGATTGCTTAAATACCTGCAGCTTCTCCCCGTGCAAGTTGCAGACTGCTGTGATGGTTGGTATCTTGGCTATTAACTGCAGAATTGAGAGACAGGGAAGACAAGGGGAAGCTCATTAGTTCTGTCTTCTGAATCAGCATTTTTCCTTGGCCCCAGATGAAGAGAAATGACTTGGGAAAAGATGTTCAAAGGCACATTTCTAGCTTCTCCTTTAGAACAAAAACCAAAAACAAAACACGATGCGTGTCCACCCTCAATTCTCTAAAGGGAAAATCAAGAGAAAGAAGTGGGACAAAGCCTTTCAATATGTTGTTCTTAAATCATAAAGTACTATGGAATAAGTATGGAAAGAGGTCTAGTTTGATTGTGAGGAGGGGGTGCTTTAAGGCTGGTGGGCTCGGTGAGAATCCTGGTTTCTAAATAGTTATTTAATGTTTGTGGCCATGCTATACTCCACGGTCTGACTTAATTTTCTCATTATAAATGTGGCTTACAAAGTACCCATTTCATTGGATGTCTGTGTGGACTGAGAGAAGTAAAACATATAAAAGAGTTAAAAATACTCTGGATGAGAAACACAGTTGTGAGCTAATATAATTCGATATTCCCTACAGATATTCACGATGTAAATATTAGATTTTTAGTTTGGGAAGGTGATTAAAAGGAAAGTAAAGCCTACTATATTAAATACTTAATCAAGAGAGAATGGTGAGGAACTACTCTAGGGAGGTGTTTTCAAAACTCATTGGAAAATACTTACAACTGCTATATGTAGTCAAATTACTATATGAACTTACAATTATATATTTAAAACCTATATATACAAAAACACCATCTTTATTTATAAAAAATGAATAGTTACTTTTCATTTTATGAAATCAGAAGATCGTGTTCAATAAGATAAAATATACAGTTTCCTAAGTAATTTATAGGCTATAGGAGATTAATACTTCAAGTGTTCAAATACCTATGATTTAAGGTTACTTAGAACCTGTCATTTAGTGTCAAAGTTCACTCAGAAACAAACATTATTGTAAACAAATGTCAATGTAATCAGATTACTGTAGGAATAAGCTATGTTCTCACCTACAGAATAATATTATAAAAGATAAACTTGATAAGCATCACAGGCCTGACCTATGATATACTTGAAGTGATGATATTAAGTAAAACCCATCTAATCACAGATTAAGTTCACATTGCTTCTCTATCCTATTCAATAATAAGAATCTACTTCAGCCTTTGAAGTAAAAGAGGAAATAGATAATTAGTTACTTTATAGCTTTTCAAAATCAGAAATTTCCTCTCTTTCATTAACTTTCCTTTTAACAACTAATGACTATACAACCCCAGTGTGTATGAGCAATTTAAAAAGTGCATCAGCATTAGAGCTGTTGACATATTCATTAAAAGAATCTTGAACACATTAAGAAGTTTGGAGTTCAGACTTTTCAACCTACCCATTTTCACTGCTCTTAAATGATAGAACTAGAAATGGGAAAAAAAAGAAAGGGAGCAGCACCTTGTTTCTAGAATGATATTACTTTTCAGACAGCGAATCAAGTTTTACCCTCCGTCCTTGAGTTACTTATATTTAGAGCAGGCTCTTTGCTAGTCCCCCAGAATCACAAAACAGCATAATTCTTGCTTAAACAATCAAATGTGGGAAGCTTTGGCTAGAGTGACCAACAATTCAAAGTGGACTGGAAAACTACCATGAGAGCTATGGAGGAATGGTGCAGAAGGAAGCAGCAAATAACAGAACAGTTTCTTGATTTGTGTTGTCAAGCTTTCCCGAAGAAAGTGCCCTGTGAGCTGAGCTTGATGAAATAGCAAACTAGATGCCAGAGCAGATAATACAAAGTAGGCTTTAGGATCAGATACAAAGGTGCTTGTTGCAATAAAGGATGTTTGGAGGATCCTCCCAGGAGGGGAGATCCATGTTGAAAGTAGACTATGGACTGAACACGATTGCCACTCAATGCCTCTCTTGCAGACCACAACACCCAAAAGGAGAGAGAGAACAAAAAGGAATGCCCTGCCACAGAGGCAGGGTGGGATGGGGGGGATGGGTGTGGGAGGGATACTGGGATCCATGGTGGTGGAAAATGGGCACTGATGGAGGGATGGGTACTTGATCATTGTATAATCGAAACCCAAGCACAAAAATTTGTAAATCTATAACTGTACCTCATGGTGTTTCACTAATAAAAAAAATTTAAAAAAAGGTGCTTGTTGCATCGAGATTTCAGTGTCTTTTGAGCAATGGGTAAGCATGATTGAGGTTAGAACAGGTACAGTGGTCATGGCCAGGTTACTCAGATTCTTACAGTCTCCATTAAGGTCTTTGGAGGTATATTAAACAAACAAACAAAAAAAGCAAGCAAGATGAGGGCTGGAAAGAAGTACAATGGGTAGGGCGTCCCATATGGTCCCCTGAGTTCGCCAGGAGTAATTCTTTTTTTTTTTTTTAAATTTTTATTAGTAAAACACCATGAGGTAAAGTTGTAGACTTACAAATTTTTGTGCTTGGGTTTCAATTATACAATGATCAAATACCCATCCCTCCACCAGTACCTATTTTCCACCACCACAGGTCCCAGTGTCCCTCCCACCCCCATCCCCCCCTATCCCACCCTGCCTCTGTGGCAGGGCATTCCCTTTTGTTCTCTCTTTCCTTTTGGGTGTTGTGGTCTGCAAGAGAGGCATTGAGTGTAAATCATGTTAAGTCCATAGTCTACTTTCAACATGCATCTCCCCTCCTGGGAGGATCCTCCAAACACCCTTTATTTGGTGCTCCCTTCTCTATCTGAGCTGCTCTTTCCCCTAGAATGCTCGGCTGGCCTCTAAGCCATGGAGTAATCCTCCTGGTACTGATCTCGGCTATTCTTGGGTATTATTCTCCTATTTTGTTACTTTATGTCCCCCAGATGAATGCGATCTTTTTTATGCCTATCCCTCTCTTTCTGACTCATTTCGCTTAGCATGATACTTTCCATGGAGTACCACTTGTATGTAAATTTCATGACTTCATTTTTTCTAACAGCTACATAGTACCAGGAGTAATTCTTGACCACAGAGCCAGGAGTAGCTCATGAGTATCACAAGATGTATCCCCCAAACCAAAGAAACCAACAAGACAAAACAGAAAAAAGCAAGATGATCAGAACTACATTTTGAAAGTTTCACTTTGAATGTAAGGTGGAAAATTGTCTTTTTCTCTATTTTCATAGGTAAAGAGTGTACAAGTGTCCATTTAGCCAGGGTCCCTGGGGAAATTATTCAAGCCCTCTTAACCAGCTGGTTCACACAGAAGGAGACTACAACAATTTCAGAACACTTCCAGCACATTATAATTCTTCCTGAAATAGCAATTCAATGCAGAGAGAGCTTTGAAAGCTTTCTACAATCATGTGCGGTCGAATTGATGATGTGCAGAGCCCCTGAAATTTCCAGATGCAGTTCTATTATGATTGTCAACTGTTAGTGTACATAAGAATCACTGGGCTGTTTTCCTAAAAAAAAAAAAAAAGCAAGTGACTGGGATTTACTCTGAGGAATTGGAAATCGTGTTTCAGTAGGTTCAGGTGGAGCTCAGACTCTGAATAATGTATCTCTTGGAGTTACTGATGTGGTTGGTCCCTTTGAGAAATACTTAACTTCAGAGGTTCTAGCCTTACACATTTACAGCTGGCTTCCAACCTGAAAAATAAAGTTGTTATTATATTTTCAGTGATCCAGGGAACAGGAAGAAGGCTAGGCAGTTGTCATTCCTAGAGAGCGAAGGTTCATTTCTTATTTCTGTCTATGGTGGTTAAATAATGAATGCCTTGAGTTTCTTATGCAGACAACTACAATCCAGAAAGAAGCCTGACTGCTCGGATTTGAATCCTGGGTCTATTTTTCATAACTGTTTAATCTTGGACAAGTCATTTATCCTCAGAGCTTCCGTATCTGCTAGATAGAAATTAGAACAGTTCCTACTCTATCGGGTTTTTCTGAGGGTTACAGGTGAACAAAAACTGTCTATAGTAACACATGATATATGTTAGGTGACATGCTTATGATTCCTGCTTCCAATCCCCCACATAACTTTTCCTTCAAGGAGAGTAATAGTCAATATCATGCTTGTTCATATAAAGGACACAGATGTAGTTTAGCTCTTAACTAAGTACCCAAAATGGAATCTTTCTATTCCGTGTTAATGCATGATGAAAATAACCACTTACAAATGGAACACCAACCATATATTGATTTTTTGGTTTGGTTATGATTAAAGTCCATTGCTCATTTAATAAGCTGTGAGTCAGGAGGCCGACTTCTATATATAATACCCAATTATTATTTTCTTGTTTGTTTATTTTAGGGCCACACCTGCTCATGTTCATGTCACACACCTGGCTCTGCACTCAGGTATTTCTCCTGGTGGTACTTGGGGAAACATACGGAATGCTGAGGATCGGTGAGAGAATCAAACCTGGGTTTTGCCATGTGCAAGACCCTACCTGCTCTACTATCGATCCGGCCCTGGTACTCAATTATTAAAGCATCTTAAAGAGTGTGCTTGGTTTGAGAAAATAAATACGGATGTTAGATTCTTGATGTCCAAACTCGGATTTGATATGTGGCTGACTCAGTCTCTCTATCTTCCTTCATTTGTGGCAGTTAGAGACCACCCACCTTGCTCATAAAGAGTGTGTTTGGTTTGAGAAAATAAATATGGATGTTAGCTTCTTGAGGCCCAAACTCGGATTTGATAAGTGGCTGACTCAGTCTCTCTATCTTCCTTCATTTGTGGCAGTTAGAGACCACCCACCTTGCTCATCCGAAGAATGGGATGAATGATGACAGCTGCTTTTCGGTAGAGTGATGGAGCCCCTAGAGCCAAGAGCTCTGATAAAACCAATGCTCCCTTAACTTTTGTTCTCTCCGAAGTTGGTGATTTATAGGCATCCAATCAGCTGTGGAAACAGAAGTGCTGACAGGGGTATCTGTCACTCAGGGTGCCAGCCAGGAGGCCCTGTGGAGGCAGCAGCCACACTTGTCAGAGCCCAGAAGGGCCTGGTAGGGACGCAG